CATGCGGACATGAGCCATTGCGCTGGGTCGAGCGCCACTGGGCATCCAAGATTGTCACTAGGAGATTTCGTCTGTGGCATCTGTCTGTGGAGGTGGGCTGTAGAACCGCTACAACCCTTTGTGCATGCGCCCTTTCGCGTGTGGGCTTTCTTTGTCATCTTTACCTCAGGGTGGCAAGAGTGTTGACTCATGTTCTTTGCCGTCCTAACAAACTTAAAGAAAAGAAGCTATCAGCTTGCAATAACAAGCATCGCTTCGCGGATCCAAAAAAAACTTGATTATTTACGTGAATGTGTAAGCGGCTAAAACGCAGTTTTACCAAGTTGGTGATAATCAAGTTGCCCCACGCCCATCAAAAATGGGTTCGTTTTGAAGTGTATAAGCGTTTCTGAAATGTCCACATCACTTTCCTTCGGAGAAATGTAAGCAACAAGCCTAGCGCTAGCAAAAAAGCTTTCGTAAAACTAACCTGAAAGAAAACGCAGGAAAGCATAATTTGAGGGCCAAAAGTAGGATAACGGCTAAGTACCACAAAAGTCGACGGGTGTGTTTTCCCCAGGAATCGGGGCATTCCCCGGAGACCAAAGCGAAATACGAGCACTTTGCTTGTAAGGTCCCTCTAACGAAAACACTAGAAATAAAGGCGTGTAATGCGGGAATGATGCCAATAGGGGATAGCAGCTTAAATGATAGAAAATGGCAGTAACCCGCTGGAAATATAAAGGCGTGTATATACCCACCATCATCGTTCAAGAAAGCTTGCCTTTTTATTCGTGAATTAGACCATATTACACACCTACCTACAAGCCAGCCTAATCACAACTCCAACCCTGTTCAGTTTGTTCGTTTGTGTTAACATTCGTTGTCCTAACTTTCTAATTCGATTGCGAGTCTCCTTGCAAACTGCCCTATTTAGAACAAAGCACATAAATGGAGTTCTGAATCACTAAGTCCCAAATCAGGCCCATTTATGTAGTTTTCTAGATGAGAGTTTCATGAACCTACAGTCGGCTTCTGATTGCCCGGTATATTTTGTCTGGGGTCAATCAAACCCCTTATAACTGATTTTGCTCAGTTACTTTGACCATTTTCAATTTGAGTGTGTGTCTCAAATAAGAAGGATTGTAATGACTAGCTCCACACGAAGTTCACTTGTGAACGCCTGTCATGACTAGCTCAAGTCGAAGTGCATCTTCGGAACGCTCGCTGCTTCCGGTCTGTGTAACAGTCAATCACAGGCCGACTCAGACAGGACCTTGTAGCGACCTCTTATTCTAAGCCATGTTTGCTGACATGCCTGTGGGCATGACCCGAGTGT